TAATTATAAATATTCTACAGATTATAAGATATATTGATATACTTATATATAATTATCTAATTATATTTATTATTATTATTATTATTATTTTACTATATTGTCTTAAAATAACATCTCAGATATATTTAAAATTTTGATCTAAATTAAGCTTAATTCAGACCAAAATTTTAAATTACATCTGAGTTGTTATTTCAAAACAATATATAAGAGTAAATTCATAATAGCTGTAAAATAATATATATTGATTATATTTTATATAAAACAAAAATATTTCAATATTATCTTAATCTGAATTAAGTTCAAATAAGCATTCTTTTATGAAAATAGAATGCCTTAAAACAGATCTATATCTTTTTTAGTAAAAAATAAAGCATTTCAAAGTATGTTTAATAACAACAATTCTAAAGAGTATAGAGATGCATTGTTTAATGTTATCAATAAATTGTAGCATTCAGAAACTAAATCTAATAAAGGTGATCTTAAGACTATGAAAAAGCTTTATTTAATAATACTTTTTATTACTTATATTATTTACCAAAAGTTGAATGGCCTAATAATGTCTATTGAGAGTTATAAAAATAATTAATAAGTATCATCTATCAAATTCAATTGACAATGCTTTAATAAATTTTTTAACAAATTCTTTAATTGGGATATTTTACTACTTCTACTAACAAATAAAGCCAAAAAGGAATTTTTTGATAACTCTATTATTTTTTATATGATGTTTAAAGAAGTTATTATTAGAATATTTATAAATATTAGGTATACATTTTTCTATTGATTATAAATAAAAACTATTAAGTTTTTTTATTAATGATCAATAATATTAATTAGTTACTAGTTTTTTAATATAAAAATAAAATAAAAACAAGAAGAAATATAGAATATCAAGTTTTTGAAAAACAATTCTAAAGGGCATGGTAACTTAGTAAAGTAGATAAATTGTCATACTTCCAAGTATTAGGTTGTAAGTTCAAAACCTACTGTTAATAATTTCCTATATAATATATAGACAGTATTATAATAACAATATTCTGTTGATTAGTTGAGATAGGATACCTGTAATTATGATTGCATCAGCATGACGGGCAGGTCTGGAGCATCTGTGTAACTTTAGTTACACAAAGAAATGCAAACTAGTAACAGGCAGTGTAAACCTAAAATAAGTTCTTAGACTGTATAAATTTGTAGAACTAAGAAGCCAAAGCTTATTTGAAAATTCTGAGCAGAGAGGTAACACAGATCTTTAATAGTACTACTATAAAGGCTAGATCTAAAAAATAGATACTAATGTAGAGGAATTAGGCAAACAAGAACCTCAGATGAGAGGTACCACCAACCAGGCTGCTGAATTTTAGATCAGAAGAAAAAGATATTAGGCTGGCCTCGATATACCAAGAACAGATTACAGTTTTTCTGAGCAATCTAAATTGAAAGTCTGAGGTCAAAGCAAAGGTATACTATAAGTACTAAAAATATGCTGTAATGTTAGTGCCAGGATCTGGATGAACTCTGTAAGGATAGCCCTTGTTAGTATTCTAAAAGTGAATAGATAGTTAACAACAGAAGGCCCCTTGTGTCTTACTGGCAGGTGATGTATTCTGAAATATGTAACAGTCTAAGAACTAGTACAAAAAGAATAGATACTATACTGCTTAGATGGTATATCAGTTAAATATATATATGGATTAGTTGGAATTACATTATAACAAAATGGATGATTAAAGGTTTAAATAGATAATCTTTTAGTAGGTTATAAGTACAGCATCTAGTATAAAATCTTAGAGCTGACTACTTAAATAGGTAACCAAAAGTTGTACATGTGACTAGTTATACTTTCATCTTTGTAAAAATAGTTGTAATAGCTAATCCAATAAAAGTCAATAAAGTATTATCACAAAGTATAGCCTTTAATAAAAAAAAAACAATTCTATAATAATTAGTAAAAATGAGAAGAATTGGTATTACTTCTTAGACAACATATATTATCATTTGTTTTTTATTTAGATGTTACAATTCTAGTTTATATAAGAAAGTCTTTATAGTATTTTATATTTTTGTTACTTGGTAACATCTTAAATCATCAAAGGAACAAACCAGATCTAAAACATTAGTCAAATATCTTTTAATCTTAAAAGTTAAAAATTCTAAAATAAAGTAATTTGATGACTTTTGCAAAATACAAAGAGAAGTTTTTAGAAATATATATTGATTTTTTTTAAGTTTATTATTAAAGAATAAAGCTTTATTTTGTTATACATAGAAATATAATCACTTTTATCTCACAAATATTAATCATTATTGCTAACTTAGCTAAATAACACAAGTTTTCAAATATTTATCAATTATTTTACTTCAAAAATTATGTTCAACATGCTTAGTATTAAGGAATAAGTTGAATAATATAAATTTAACAAATATAATCTCAAGAACTTCAAATATTATAAGACAAGTAATATATAGTAGCAATAATTCTAATTATTTAATTTATTCTAAGACAAATACATTTTGGGACTTAAGATAATAAACTTTTAAGTATTTATTTACTATAAATTATTAAAATAGTATGTATAAATGTTATTTCAAATTTTATCTGAATTAAGCTTAATTAGAGCAAATTTAAAATAATAATATGTCTGCTTTTAATAATTTTGTTAATAAAAATATAATTTATAACTAATAAGAATTATAGTAACTTTAATATAAATGAAAATATCATATCTAATTAGATACATATTTTAGACCTTGGCTACTTTAATTATATGCTAGATTATATTAAAGAGCTTTTATTTGAACAATATAATAACTATATATTACAAATTTTTTAAAGACAATTGATATTAATACCTTGATATAAAGCTCTTAAAATAATGAAAAGAATAGATTTAACATACATGACAGCTGAAGAATTATAAAATATAATAAAAATAATTATTTATGTTTTTGATAACTTATATAAAAATTACAAAAGACCAAAAATTAGTAATAAATAGTTATATCAAGTTTATTACAAATTCTTTGTATATTGCCATCTACAATAAATTATTTATTTATGATTTATATAACCAACTTTAGATATAAATAAATCATTATCTTTCTTACTAACCTGATTATTAATAATTAAATTTATAAACTTTTATTATCTCTTAAACTGTTTAGCATACAAATTTGTATACTAAAATGATTTTTTGTTGATTTTTGTGTAATTATACCTGATTTTTATAAGGTACCTCTTCACCTTTTCTAAGATAAAAAAAGTGGTTCATATTTTCAATTACATATTATTAAATAATTTATTTAAATTATAAACCTGTTGTGCAATTAACAAACAAAAATTGTAAATTTAAACTAGTATAACAAAGCAAAAAAAGTACAAAAGTAATAAATACAAAAAAATTTTTATCAAAACTTATTTAAATGTCTAATTAAAATTGTTAAAAAAACAATTTTACATATAATGTTATCTTTAAACTTAACTTCAAATTGCTCTTGATCTAAAATATTTAATAATATATAATGTAGATTTTCTTGAAATTTTCTAAAATTTATTAGTTTTGGTAATCCTTAAAATAACCTTATATAAAAATTTAAAATTTCAAATACTAAATAACTAAATAAAAATGTAAATTAACAATTAAACTCTGTAGTTACCCTTCTTTGAAGCATACATATGTATTATTTGAATTAAATCAAGTTAATTTTCAAATTACCTTTGCATGTATTGTTATATTACTATTATTTCTCAAACTTATAACAAAAAAAAATTCTTTCTCATAAATATTTTAATGTCAAACCAGTATTATGTAGTTTAGAGTAGCCCTTAAAATTTTTTAATAATAGACGCAAATCACTAACTCTTTCTGACGATCACTTGTACCAAATTTTCTCTAAACATAATTGCTCTTTTCTCAATTTTTTATTAAGTAAATCTATTTTGGCTGCCTAAGTAAAATTTTTTCTAACAGTATTTTACATATAGGTGGCCCAGTTTTATATCCTCAAAGGCTTTTATTACTAGGATATAACTAAACTTTGTAAGTTTTTTCTTTTTGCAAAAACTCAAAAGTGTATTAAGTAAATTATAGGTGTTACATAGAACAAACTTGTTCAGCTCATTCTTGCCGTTATTTTGATATATTTAACACTATAAATAGTTTAAAACTGACAATTATACAACTAAAATACTTCAAAACTCTCTTGAAAACTATATTTTATTTTTGTAAAAAATTTTTTCTACTTTTTTGGAGGTATTCTGGTCCTCTAGAACACTCCAGACCTGCAGATCTAAATTACTAATCAATATTATTAATCTATTTATATAAATCTAATTTTGTTTTATCTATTTTTAATTTTACTAATTTAGTCTTAACTAAATTATACAACTCTTGTTATACGGTAATCACATCGATCATTTAGGAGTCACACTAGGTGTTACCTTAAAAATCACACGCTCTTATTTGGCACATTCCTTATTTGGCACACCCCTTAGTCATCACACCTCTTATTCGTCACACCCCAATTTTGAAAATCGCTTCAAAAAATGCCTATTTTAACTAACTCTCAAGAACCAGATTCTTATAACATTGACTACTATTATTCTAAATATAAAGACAGATACAGAGTTGGACTCCAAGAAAATAAACCTCAAGCACTACGCATCCTACCAGTCTCTGCTAAACCTGATATCGGTGATGAGAAAAAACAACATTACTATTTTAAAGTTTCTCTTCAACCTGCTATCGCAACTTGAGCAGCAGGGGATGCAGGCAGACTTTTTTGTGTGTTTTTACACTTTCTCTTCTATGAGTTTTTTTTCGTCAGTCCATTAAAATTGATACTAATTTTTTGGTGTTTTTATACGAAGCAAACATAAATCTCTCATTATTTAACTGACAAAGCAAACATAAATCTCTCATCATTTGACTGACGAAGCAAACATAAATCTCTCATTAATCACATCATTATTTGTATAAAACTTTTTTTTCTGACTTCAAGTGATGAAGTCACAAGAAGGTAGACTTAAAAATAGTAACTAATTATGGTGTGTTTTTACACCCTTCAGTCTGCAAGTTTTCAAAGCTAAAAATCATTAAAATCAGTACTAATTTTTTGGTGTATTTTTATACCTTCTGTTCGCAAGTTTTTTTTAACTTCAAGCATATATGCAAGAAGGTAGGATTAAGTTTCATTCTGGCTTTGAACAGTATCTGCGAGAAGGCGGAGCTGGTGAGAATAAAATTGCAAGACATAAAACTTTTTCCTTCTCTAGTTCAGAAAAAAAGAAAATTAGTTAACTATACCTATTGTGATGACAGATTTTAGATAGGATTAGATAAAATTAATAAATGAATAATAAAGTAACTATAAACTGCAAAGCAAAAACTACTTACCCGATGCTAGTAAAAGTACAAGTATTGTCTTGTAAGACCCCAGTAACCATTGTTAAATAGAACCCGTCCACCCTAAAGAATAAGCTAATTCTGCTGTTGATCATTCGATGTAGTCATGTGACCCGAAGACCGAATTGAAAGGAGTCCCGACACCAATATGATGTAGTAAGATCCCGTTTAGAATGATAAAGAAAAAAAGAAAGAAATTAGTAAAAGAAAGTAGGTTGAAGGAAAAGACTCAAGGGAAGAAGAAGTACTTACCTATGGATAATAAATCATTCAAGACCGCAAGATGTCTGATCGTCACATGAAGCCGACCTTCGATTAGCACCAGACTCACCGATTTAGGAGCTCCAATTATATTCATGACTACCATAATGATGGGATAGCGATACCAAATACCGTAACTGATCACGTGAAAAATGCACGAAATGCAATAAATTATATTTAGGATCAAAAAAGTTATATCAGATCCAGAGGGTTAGATAAGGAATAATAAGAGGATGTAAGGATAAATTACATATCCTTGAATAAATTAGAAAACAACATAAAAATTAAATATATCACTGTAAATAACATTTAATAAACTTTAAGTAATAATAAGTGCAAAGTCACATTTGTAAGTGATGAATTTTATATTATAAATAAAGGCTGAAATGGCCCTTAGAAGCAGTACGCTTCATTTGCTTTATTAAACAATAACTCTAATACCTTACATTGTATATAATAAACACTAACACTAATACCATTACAAACCTTGTAAACTTCTATAAACGTCACTGTTCAAGCCCTTGTATATATGATTTACTCGACTTGCATTCGTTGATCCAAAGTAACCAAAAGCCTTAATCACCCACAAGCTAAATCTAACACCTTCATTCGAAAAGATTACTTGTTGTATGTTACATGAGGTTTAGAATTTTGGAGCAACAGAGTCACAAACTTCCGAACCCAACACTATCTAAACATAAACTTGTAAGTAGACAGAATATATAAGTGAAATAAATATTTTTTATTTAAACAAAGGATCTGAATAAGCAAAATATAATAAAAAAACCTGAAAAATATGATAAGTAAATGTCCAAGATGTGGATGAAACCCTAAAATTAGGAAAACAAGAGATCTTAATAAGCATATAGACTTAACACGATTCAGACCATGTCAGGCTTTCTTGCAACTAATGCAAGCACAAAATATATCTTAAACTGGAAACACTATTCAAGCTCCAGCTCCAGTAGACAATTTAGCACTAGCCTTCGAAGGTGATTTAATATTATTTGACAAAAACCTACCAACACACCAGCCAGCCCAACTGAGTGTGGCAGCAGTTAATCTTTTAACTGGTGATATTCCAGAAGCAGATCCTGAAGCTGGTTCAGGTCCTAGAACACAAATACATAGGGAGAAAAAAAAGAAATAGTTTTAACTATAAATGAACTAATAAAATGGTTATCAAAACCAGGAATAAAAAATAACAAAAAAATTAGATACAAATTAGTTTCTAAAACAGATAAAGAATGGTTCGATCTAATAGAATCAAATATTAGTGAACCTAGTAATCCAGAACCTCAAGCTTATCATTTTCTAGATTTGGATATAGAAGTACTTTGGCCAGTCCTATTTCCAAATGATGAAAAACATTGTGCAATTTGGCAGAAAGGAATTCAGTATGCAAAAGATATGTTTAAGGTTGATGGAGCTGAATATGCCTTTTTAACCTGATTTATAAATACTGAGGAACTTAAATTAGAAGCTGGAATGACCAAAGGGTGAGCCCAAGAAATTTTGAATGCAATCGATAATAGTGAGTTCTTAATAAGAGTAAAATTCATTCAAGATGATTCTGTATATAGAGATGAATCTCAAGCAAAGATCGCTTTTAAAATTATTGATAAATATGAGCCTATTTGTGAATCAAAAAAGACAGGTAGAAAATATGTCAGGGGTGGTCCAAATGTTATACTTACAAAGAAAACGAAGCCAGGATTTTGGATAGGAATAGACGAAAAATTTCTGGTTAGAGAAGTCAGTGAGCAATCTGAGGTAGAGAAGCTTGATAGTAATGCAGTAGTATATAGATTATATCAAATTCGAAAGCCAGATGTCAATTGATTAATACCTATAAAAGATGGAGCACTTAACTGTGTAGCTCAATGATAATAGACATTTTGATAATACTAAGCGAGGGCATGGACTCACAGAAATTCGTCAGCAAAAAATAAATGATTAGAAGAAAAAAATGTGTATTCCAGGTGCTCGAGTACAAGATGTAGCAGAGTTAGAAAAAATTCTCAAGCGACCAATTACATTACTGGATATTACATATGGCACTATTTTTAATAGCAAAAAATATCGATTTGGTAAGTATAAAGAAATAGAAATGGTAGTTCATAATGGGCATGCATTCTCTCGAAATCATTATTTTTTAAAGGATCGAATGGTTGAATATTATAAAGAAGATACTTGGGAAGCTATCAATAATGCCCTTCAAGGTCCTCAAGCAATCTGGCTTATGGAAGTAGGAGATGAAAACCAAAGAGTTTCTCAATTTGTTTTAGAAGATGGCCATGCATTTAGGACATGGATAAAGCATACAGATATTATAAAAGCATGTAAGAAATTATTTGAAGATGCAGTAAACTAGCAATTTCATGAAAATATAATTAATGAAGAAAAAAAATCGATTCTTTTAAAGTCTTTCAAAGTAGTTGACTTAGCAGAGCAAGTATTTGGTGCAAACCATCTGGAAGTTGACTTGCCAATAAAATCAATGAATGGCATCCAATATCTGGAAAAATAAATGATGTTATAAGACAAGCTTGTGTTGAGCATGGGCATGGTGGACGCTGAAATGCACCCAGTTATCACATTAATAATATCGTATGTATTAATATGAAAGAATGCTATCCAGCAAGTATATGAGGCCAAGAAGAATGTGCACCATGGTTTAATCAATTTGGGCACCCAACATATCATCTTATCCAAGTAGCAGTAAATGAAAAGTTACCAAAAGATGATACCACCAGATTTGCACAGATAAAATCTTTCAAATTTGCTTCTAATATACATCTAGTAATCTCAGTCTGGTATGAAAACCATTTTGCATGTTGAAGCAGAGATAGATGTGTAAAAAGTAAAGGATAGGCACCTATTGTATTTCTACACTATCTTCTTGAGACCGGTATTCTAGAAAGTGTAACTATTGGAGAAGCAATTATTTCTTTTACCAAACAAACAAAAGTATAATTACCAAAGAATTAAAATATTAGTTGTGCAATTATAGGTAAGTTTATACAAGGTGACAAGATTGATGAAAAATAACTTACTCATCAACTTGTAACAGATAAAGGTGAGCTCGATTTCTTGGTCAAAGATTGTACTAATGCTAGAACTTTTGGCAAAAGAGAAAAATGTCTACTCAGTTTTATACTTACATACTATAAGGGTCATCAACCTCAATATACTCATTTACAGGCTTCAATGTTAGCATATGCACATATTAATTTGTTAGAGATGCTTCAGAGATTTGATCCTAATGAAGTAGTAAGAATTGCTACAGATTTTATACATGTACGAAAAGATGCTTTATATAAGATCGAGAATATACTGGCATTCTTCAAGCAAGTTGAGATAAAATCAAATCCAAATTTATGTTCATACTATCCTTCTTGTGCAATGTGTAGCAATCCAGAAGAATTTTTTATTTTAAAATTGGAATATCCAAAATGGATTAAAGAGTTTCTAAAAACTAAAATACCTCTAGCAAAATATAATTGCAAAAGGCATAAACTATTTATTTGCAGATTTTGCTTTGGGGAATGGTTTTATAGCGGTGCTGGTGCCAAGACACATAGATCAGACTCCTATGCTCTTTTACATTAACCAGAAGAACAAGAAATCTGAGAAATTCAACCCGGTCAATGGTGTGATAAGAGCGAAAAAATATATAGTCAAAATTCAAATATTGTATACTGGCTAAAGAATAGGCATTGGGAATCGATCAAAGATATTCCAGATAGCATTGCATCAACAATTTATGATCCTATTACAAGATGTCGAAATTCATATCTTAATGGAAGAGGAGGATCCAGTAAAACAACATGAGTAATTAGAATATTTAAAAATATAAGTATGATTGTCTTTACTTATACAAATGCATTAGCCAAAGATTTTCGAGAAAAACATAATGTGAAAGCCCAAACCTGGCATAGCTTCTTTTGATGGAATGGTGTAGGAGAGTGGACACCTGAACGCATAAGAAAGAAGAAATTTTTATGAGTTTTTATTTGGGATGAGGTATGTATGGTTCCTAAGCATATTCTTGAAATGTTCATTAATTATTTGTTAGAACATAAATGTCAGGTAATTTGTTGTAGTGATGATGCGCAACCTTCACCATTCTTCGGAGAAATGCCACATAATTGATTAAAAGAGCATGCTGATTATTATGAAGAAGTCTTGACTGATTATCAGGCCAAATGTCCTAAATTATGTGAATTTAAAAAAGGAATGCGTCGTAAAAATAATCGGGTGCAATTAGAATTATTTCGTGAAGCAATTCCAGTTATAGAAAAATAGAAATATCTTGAAAAAAAATGGTCTTCCTCAGATCGAATTTTATTAGCACATCAACTTTCTTGAAGACTTGCATCACAAATATGTCTCAAGCTTTATTATACAAAATATTCTGAAATTCCAATTCTATTAATTTATAGGCCAAAAGATGGGTGCAAACAAAACTGCCTTGTTTCAATCCCTGGCTCATTTGAGAAAAGGGAGCTAGTAAAAAATGATATAATACACTTACTCTTAAATACACTTTCTGATAAATTCTTATAAGGCATGTTAGGAAAAGAAAAGACTATAGATTGGGAACTTGGATATGCAATGACTATTCATACCAGTCAGGGAATGACTCTCAAAGCTTCACAATGAGTTTGGGTTATCGATGAACATTTGACGTGGAATAATCTAATTTATTTTGCAGTTGGTCATGTAGAATATTTGGGCCAACTTATTCGAATTGAAGGTTTCCCATTACCTCCTGAGATTAAAGATGCAAAAAATAAGAAAGCAATTGAGCGATCCTTAAGACTATTTATTTCTGGAAAACTCGTAGGATATATGGATTAAGATAAGAAAAAAGGTTGTGAATTTAACTTATCTGTTGATTATATCCTTGTATTAAAAGATTCACAAAAAAATAAATGTAAATTATATCTCAATGAATTGTTATAGGATTGGGACGAAGCTGGAAATCCAGACCAATAGATAGTAGATAGAATTTATAATGAATTGGGACATATTAAAGAAAATGTACAGCTTACTTATTTAGAATGCAATCAGAATCATCAAGTCTAGCCCACTCAATGTACCAAATGAAAATATTAACATTTCCTATAATAAATTTTTTTCTTAATAAGAATAAATATCCAATTCAAAATTCCAGAGAAATAAATATCTCACTAAATTGTTCTACTTAATGTATAAATCTATTTTTTATAATTGATAATAAATAAATATAACAATTAAATAAAAAAATCTTAGTTAATAAAATCTATATGTTTCGAAATAAAACATGCCCAATATTCAAGATATTGTTAAAGAATGAACAAAAAATAATTATACCCGATATATATTAACCAAATATGGTTTAAACTATATCAATAATTTAAAAACACCACAAGCTTGGTTACGATTTGCGAAGTATCATTCACCCAAATATATACGTGAATGTTTATTTATTCCTGAATATGAAATTAATAGAAAGAATCATTGAAAAAACTTTGTATTCTATATCAAAAATAATTTGACCAGCTATAGACAAATGGATAATGACCCCAAATACAGAGGTTTTAAAGATCAACTAGCATATTTTAAAACTTTGTATATAAAAAATCAATCAGCAACTATCATCCAGCAAGCAGTAATTAAATAGCTTTATCGAGTTGATGGACCATTTATGAAAGATGCTCAAGATCAGATGCTAATAAACTTGAGAATTAATAGTAGATCGAGTAATTCTGGTTTTTTGTCCAAATCGAATTATCATTGCTTTATTCATTCAGTTAAGAAAATTACTAATTTGTAAATTATCATGATTGCTAGTAGATCGAGTGATTCACATTCATACTAATTAATTTGTGAATGAACAGATCGCTGAATCTGAAATTAGTTTTCATAGTATCTAAATTTGGTTTTATTAGTTGCAAGAAGTATAGTATATAAAAATGAGTCAAGTATATAGAAATTTTAATTGTAATTGTTAATTATGCAAATAAATAAACTGAAAGATATATTAATCATTTGCTGATCATAATTTTTTTGCAATAAAAATATTGTACTAATCTTTTATATTACTTCTGTGATAAACAGTTTTGATATGATGGATTGTGATACTTGAACCTAAACAAATAGCTTGTAATTGCTTCTAAAATGGAAACAAATATGTCTTCTCATAAAGTATTTAATGATAAGTATAAGCGTTCTTACAAACCTTAAGATCCCACTTTAAAGAATGAAAAAAATTATAAACTTAATATTTAGTGCATTACTCAAATTAAAAATAAATGTCTCTTATTCTCAAGTAACAAAAGAGAATACTATAGGAAACGTGACCAAGGCTTTTTTATTCCGCTTGTCTGTTAATAAAAATTCAAATGAGCTTATGCAAGAGAATGTGCAAGATTTAGACCTAATAAAGTATCTATTAGCACCTTACTATGATATAGATTATTCATGTATAAGTTCTCAAAGAATTGGATATGAAAATTATAACATTTCCAAATTAAGAAAGAGAAAAAAAGAAGTTAGTCCTAATAACATAGATAAATATTTAAGAAAGCATATAAAGAAATACTATTCAAGAAAGCATATAAAGAAATATTATTCAAGAAAGCATATAAAGAAATACTATTCAAATAAGTCTGAGACTCAAACCTTTGCTTCTTCTAATAATGTAATGAGTGGCCTAGATTCTCAATATGTCAAGCAAAGTATATGAATGCATTCATATAATATAAGCATCCTTTAGGCTTAAATCAAAAAATGTCATATATATCACTGGTATCTGATACCAAAACATAATTATGTCTAACTTGTAGATACGAATCTATTTTTTTTATGAATAAATGTTATTTTTTTTGATGTATTAACCATATTAGATCTAGCAATATGTAATGTATTAGTTACCATAATAAAGAAAACTAATTCATTTTATTTTTTATCTATATCTGGTTAATTGTATACTAATTAGATTGAAACAAGAAATTTTCAATATAATATAGATACTGAGACTTTGACTTTTCAGAAATAATTTATAAATGGACTGATTAACAAATCCAAAATTGGTTTTGTTAGTATAAAATAAATATTATATAAAAATAAGCTAAGTATAAGGAAATTTTGTTTGTAAAGCTTATCTAGGTCTACTTGATCTAATGTCTCTCTCTGACCTTTGAACCTTTGCATATAGCATTTTAAAAAATCTTAATGATGAAATCATTAGAGATAAAGAATTTATAGAACTTGACATGTGCTCAGAATGTGATAAAAAAATTATTATGCACAACTATTAATCATTAACAATCCTCTTATATGCTCATATATACCACAGATATTGTATTAAGAAAAAACTTTCACGTACATATCCAAATATATGCCCTATATCTGATTGTAATAAACCTGTCAAGCCCATTATTTCTGTTAATATATCTCGAGAAGATTCATCTAATCCTGCCCCATCCAAAAAACATGCTGGTGAACCTACCTTAGCAGACAAATCAACCAGTAAAAAAGCAAAAAAAGAATCACATGTATTAAATGAGCTTATAAAAGAATTATCTACCGAACTTGAAACTCCACAAGCCCCTATAGTTAGAAAAGAAAATGCTATTAATTTTGATGATTTATATAATAATATAACCAATGCGAAAACTTAAAATGAAATTATGAATCAAAATCTTATAACCTGTTATTATCTTTTTGGTAAAGCTCTATCAGAACGGCTTAAGCATCACAAGAAATCTAATCCTTCATATGCTTCTTTGCTGTTAGAAAATGAAGAAGTTAAAGAACAAATTCCCAATATTACAGATACTACATTATGAAAAAAAGTAGAAAGATCACGAAAGATTTATAAGCTCTTTCTTAATATCGGAGAGGATAAGATTCAAAGAGTTAGAACTTTCAGTACATTAACCATTTCAAAATTAAGAAAGGAGGATATTGATGGTATTATACTTACCATTTTGAAACCAAAAAACCAATCTACTGCACCAGTCACGTGAGATCACATGTCCTGACCTAGCGGTCAGAATTGATATCAGTAGTAATAGTATCGGTATTAATACTTCATATACTTATATAAAATTTTAAAGTTTTTATCTATCACCATTATTCGATTTTTTTAAATGTGTTCATGAAATAAATTATCATTATCTTTATAGGGATTATAATTTGTTTGTAAGACAGAGCAGGTTTGTATAATAAAAAATTGGCCATGTTGTATTTTTTCAAAATAGCATACCTGCATATACAAATAAAAAATGTCGAAATTACTTCAAAAAGTGGCATATCTTTAGAGGATGGAAGCATGGGTGTAAGGTTTGTGACGAATGCAATCATCATTCACATCTATATTGCAAAGCATGCAAAAAAGTAGCAGTTAGCAAATATAGGCAATGTGAATGCGATAATTTTTTAAGAAAAGAAGTGATAAGTGAAAGCTTAACTATTTCATAATAGTTTCAAGTTCTATTATATCCTCGAATAATTAATAAAAATAAATTTCTGTCACTGTAATGATAGTCTAAGAATTCATGTAACCTTACTGACAAATTCCGTAATATTGAAATATTTTAAATAAATCACGATCCCCGCATGCAGAATTTTTTTTATTCGAATTCTGGAAAAATACAATATCGGCATTGTCATCCTATTATGTAACAATACATAACCTATTGTCGACAATCTGATTGTTTGTATAAACTATAAAAAGGTGAATGTATAACTATTTCTTGCTAAAAAAAGTTTCTCGTCCTATCTAAAAACTTAATACGTGAATATGTCTACTTCTACTGGAAAAACAATTTCACTTCCTACAATCAATGAAGTTGAAGGATATAAGACAATGGAGGGTCTAATAAATTTTTTACGTGACCAAAATATAGGACTTGAAGACAAGCATTTCAATATTCTTCATGAACAAGAAGTTGATGATAAAACTTTCCTCAGACTGAACATGGATAAATTAATGAAAGCTAATGTAAAACTAGGACTAGCTGAAAAAATCTCAGGATTGATTGAAAAAATCAAGGGTGAAGGACAGAGTAAGTAATACCACAACTGCATTTGAAGACACAAATGTCGAGTCTCTGACTCATATTCCAAACCTATACTGCTTTCTTCGCAATAATTTCAGTTATTTATTACCTTGTTATTTCATCTATAGACATACTGAGTTCTCGGGAGCAGACATTGTATAATGAGGTGCTAGACCTGTGAGTGAAACTTGCAATCTTGTAAGAGAATCTTTTTATAGTATGCAAATTGTTATAGTAAAATGATTTCGATATAACTAATAACGTTTGCAATGCAGTTCTTCATCAGCTACTTAGCGACATTTTTCCGACTTGGATAACTATGAAGAAGGTTAGTTGTATAGTATATGTTTGCTTTTATAGAATTCTTGTCATTTTAACTTAAACTTTTCTGATCTTTACAGAACAGCAAAAAAACGTAAAGAAGATTCAGAATTATCCTGTTCCATCAACTTTTGCACTTTTTAATAATTTTATAGATTATCAAACTAAGAACCAGCAGTTATTTATTCACTGTCCTTCAGAATGTGTTGGTCCACCAGTACAAGTTTACCATAACATTTTCAATCAGTTCCTGCATGATTACCATAATGAAGAGCTAGAAATAGAAAAAAAACATTATAATTGGACCCTTGAGTTTATTCACGAAATGGCAGAAATATACTGGAGTGAACTTAAATGTCAGCAAGTGTTTAACGAAAAAATTCATAAACTATTCGATGAAGAATTAAAAGTAATTTATTTAGATGATAATTATTCAAATGATGGAGTATTGTAATGTAACATTCATTCAAAAAGTGTGTTACGCCTTCTTGTTAAGATGAAAAATGAAATTGGTACTGGTGGCTGTGATCCAACTGTCCAGGCTGAGGCTTCTTATACAAAATATTATACCCAAAAGAAAAATGGGAAAATGCTCCAATGGTGCAACTGGCCATTTTTTCTTTTATGCTTGGCTGGACCTTGGGTGTGTATTTTAGGGGCTGTATATGTTGAGAAACCCATTATAGATCCTTTGACAGACTTCATACCTCTCATTTCTACAAACGATCGAGCTCACACAGAGCGAGTGGCATGGCTTTTCAAAGCCTTGCACTTGGGAGTTAATAAGTTAACAGAGTATTATGGATCATTAGATGCGCCTACAGATCCACAAAATTCGCATCGATTTTTTCCCTATCTGAATCAATACGAACAACAGAATACAATCATGGAATTTATATATGAGAGAAAACTTGTGGATCAACCCAACAAGCTTCTTTGGAAAGCTATAACAAAAGAGGCAGAAAATTATTGTTAAATTCACATTGAATTACAATCAAAGGGTACATGAACTGTGTAGCAAAATTGGAAAGGCACCAAAATTACTCTATATTAACAAAGAAGTGGTGGATAGATTTTACATAGTAGTTATAGATTATGTTGAGGCTGAGCAACTTTATGAGTGCAACTCACTTAGTCATGATGAATATAAAGCAGTTTTTAAAGACATTAAAGAAGCTATCGACAAACTGCATAAGAAAAATATTGTCTTTGCTGATCTCCGTGATTCCAACATTTTGGTTAACAAATCTCAAGGCCAATATCGAGGAATGTGAATAGATTTTGATTGGGCCAGTGAAGGAGAAGTCACATGCTATCCATCTTTTATGAATCATAAACATATTAATTGGCAACCAGGGGCTGAGGATAGGAAGAAGCTGAGTCGTAAACATGATGTTTATTGGTTGGAGTTGTTGAAATCTAAATACTTGGGTAAGAGTATAGATCTCGAATGATTAGTTAGCATGGTATTTGAGAATAAAGTAGAAAAAAAACAATTATGTATGTAAGCTGTGCATGTATTCAATATAATTTGTTTTTAACGATACTAGCAAGTCAATAAATAATAAAATTTACAGTAAGTTTTTAGCGATGATTGTGATAGAATTTATGTGTTTTATTTTTTGCTGTACAATAGAGCTGGTCCTGGTGGCCGATTTGCATACATAATTATGTTTCTTTTGCATGTATATTTATTTTATTATACTGTTATCAATATATATCAAAAAATATTATATATTATGGGCTAGACCTGAACATTTGTATTTATTTTTTGCATGTATTAGCATAGAAAATTTGTCATATATCAGGTTGACAAAGTCAACTAACTTTGTATTTGTTTTTTATTTCTGTGTTAATAAAGTTCGTCTTTACATTCGCAACATAATATTGAATAATTCACATTCTTGTATAAAATTTATTGATCATAACAAGCATTCAATCCAACAATTCATTAAGGGAATTAAATGCCAAGCTCTTAGCTGAGATTTGTGAGCTTAGGAAGAAGGTTGTTGAGGATGAGGTTGAGAAAACAAAACTGAGACAGGAGCTTAAGGCTAGAACTGATGAGCTGAAGGAAACTATATCACATTATTCAGTTGAGATTGGCAAACTTAATGCCATAATTGTGGAACTAGAGAAAAATAAGACAGTTACAGCTAAACTCGAGTCTGAAAATGCAAAGTTTAGAGATAGAATCACAAAAGTAGAGCAGAGGCAGATGCTAAGTAATAATGTTTCTAAGGTAACCAATTCTTCCAATAACTGCTCATCTAACTTCAATTTGCTTGCAGATCAGTTACCTATGGAAATGGATACTTCATTACCTGAAGAATCAATACCGGAAGGGTTACCAGAGCCAGCTGTTAATATATCTGTTATGGACCAATATGATCAGACATTCTTGGAAAATAAGAAAACAGATTCTTTCTTGAATGAGGTGCATAAGAAAAAGGTTAGTAGTAAGATTAGACAATGCAATAGAGAGAAGAAACTCTTGCATGAATTGGCTAATCAAGAGACATCCTCAATTTCCCAGGATATTTCTTCTGTGAAGAGTCATGATGATCGGAGCAGTTTGGAAAATTTGGTAAAAAATGGAACCTCCATCACGAATCGTGACGATCGGCAAAAAAATATTTCAGTCATTACTACATCTCAGAAAAATAATAATGATAACATTGAGTTCACTAAAAGTCAGGTTGTATAGCAAAAATTAACAAAGGAATTGCTCAGCGGTATCCTTTCTGCTCCATCAATCTCTTTTGAGGCTACAGAACAGATACCTTTGGTGTCACATCCATCATCATCTCTAGATACGTTGCAAAACTTAGTCTATTTATTCCAGAATGCAATACAAGCTGGACACGAGATGATCTTATTTTGGCTCTATTATTTAAATAGTTTTGAAAATAAAGTTGATGAGATTCGCCATAACACTGGGGCTTCAGATAAAACAACTAGATCGCAAATATACAAAGAAATGCTAGAGCATCTACTCAGCATCACATTGGGAAACTTGTGTATGAGAACCCTATATGCTAAAAAAATCCATATGTTATTCGGAGAAGGTGGAGTGGGAATAGATAAGGTTAAGCAGGTTACTTTTAGTATTTATAACATTTCAAGCCTTACTATTAATCAAATTCAAAGTGTTATCAAGAATGTGACTTTGGCAGGAAGGATACTAGAGGTACCAAATTGTAATTATGTGACTTCTGTCACAAATCGTGATGATCAGATTAATGCTCCTTTGATTCTAGCTGAGGTAACCACATTTCATGTCTTCAATTCAAAAGATAAGGTAAGTATATCATCTGATTCATCTCCAGAAAATGATCAAGATTTTTTTTTTTTTTTTTTTGATTTTACTTTTCTCCACTATCCTGAAGGTCCTTAGACACCTTTAGGATCTGTCACATCTCTTAAAGGCCAGAGTTATCATTCTGC